GGTACTCCTCTGGTTATGGTCAAAAAATCTGATTTGTAATTACACAGTGCTCCGCATTGTTGTCTGTTTGAAAGGTAATTTTGGGTCCATTTTAGTGCATTTGTATCAACGCTAATCTTTTGTAAGTTCTTTAAAAGAAGAGTGTGATCAACTTTATCAAAAGCCTTTGATTTATCAAAACCCTTTGATAAATCAATAAAAATGGCAGCACAATGCTTCTTCGTGTCAATGGCCATATACAGATCATTTAAAACCAGGGTGGTAGCAGAGATGGTGCTGTGTCTTTCTCTAAAGCCAGATTGATAATTAAACAGGACAGAATTTTAGTATAGAAATAATTTAAGTTGACTATTTACTAGAAATTAAAAAATTTTAGCTAAACAGGACAATTTTGAAATTGGTCTGTAGTTATTTACATCTGCCTCCTCACCTCCTTTATGCAGAGGAGTTATGTGAGCTAGTTTTCAGATCCTGGGAATTCTGCACGATAAAACAGAGAGATTTAGAATAAATAACGTATATTTTTAAATAATTTGGGCTGCCAGACGCAGGAAGTAAGGGTCCAGATGAGCCATCGTCTCTGACTTTACATCTACAAGGTGGACTGACAAGGTAGGAGTGGTAATCCAGTTTTAGACTGATCACGATCAAAGATCCTTTCAGTTTCTAAAATTGTTCAGTCTTTATCTTTTTTTAATGATGACAATGCATGTGTCGATCCTTGGAGAGCATTGTTCCCCTTACCTCCATATTAATTATTTTTTAATATAAAGAGCTCTTAGATTCAGTTACATCTATTGAAATATTTAGCTATAGTGATATCTGACCACACCCCCTTGCATACTGATATTAAGTTTACTTTATGTCAGAGGGTTTGTCCTCTCTCTACTAAAAAAAATAGAGGCCCTTATTCTGCAATCACAAGGCCTAGCATATCAATATGGGGACAAAAGTAGTCAGCTTTTGGCCCCTCAGCTCAGGCGTCAAGCCACTTTTAGATTAATACCACAGGTTAAGAACTCTACTGGTAATTTAATATCGCATCCCAAAGAAGTTAATAAGATGTTTGTAGAATTTTAATCTTTGCTTTACACTTTGGAATACCTTCTTGATTCCAATGCCATGTATTGTTTTTTTGGACAAACTGAATGTTCCCACCACAGATCCAGACAGCATCCCAAAGTCTTGACCTACCCATTTCCCTTTAAGAAATGAATGACATCAGTTCAGTAAGTAACGGTAAATCGCCAGGTCCAGATGGATTTAGAATAGTTTCATAAAAAGTTTTGAGTTAAATTGTCCCCTCTCTATTATCGCCGAACTAGTCTACTTTGTAACAAGCATAAAATTCGACCAAAGGTACTAGCTAAAATATTGGAATCAGTGCTTACTTTTATCTTCTCAGTTGATCAAATGGATTTATTAAAGGGTGCCACATATTTACGAACATTTGTAAGCTCTTCAATATAATATTTACCCTTAGCTCTTCCCAGGTTCCAGAGGCAGTCATCTCTTTAGGAAAAGGCCTTCAGTTGTATAGAGTGGGACCATTTATTTGCTGTTCTGCATAAATTTGGCTTTGGAAAAAAATTATCTCTGCGATTAGACTTCCGTCCACCCTAACTTCTACATGCGTCTGTACCAACTCTTTCTTTTCTCTTATTTTCCTTTCTATCGTGGCACTTGCCAAGATTGCCTGTCGAGCCCGACCTTGTTTCCACTACCATTGAAGCCCTTATCTGTTGCCCCTTCTCAGAAATTCAAGGATTATTGCAGATGACCTTTTATTATATATTACCAACCCTCAACCCTCCTATCATACAAACCGAGATATTGTAAAAGAATTTGTCTTTTTCTAATTATATAGTTTCATGAAAGTGAATATTTTCCCCTTAATCCTGTAGCTTCGTAGATGGCCCAGTCTAGCATTCTATTCTGTCTGAACTGTTCCTTCAGATATCTCAATATCAACATCATTCACACAGTGTCCTCTTTTTTAAGAGACCAGTTATACCCCTTTGATATTGACAATGAAGGCAGATTTTTAGAGGTGGAATTTTTTCCCTCTCTCTCTAGTAGGCAGGGTTCAATGCATCAATATGAATGTTCTCCATAAGTTTTTGTTTTATTTCAGTGCCTCGCCTTGTGTTTGCCAAATCCTTTGCCTAAGATCAGTTAGACTGATCTTAGACAAAGTTATTACCAACTTTATTTGGAACAACAAAGTTAACTGAGTTTGAATATCTGCCTTCCAGAAGCCTTTTTTGGCTACTATTAATAAAATGGGTTCTGGCTCCATCCCCTAAACACCAGTTGGTGTACACTGGAGTACCACAACACATTTCAAATCCTCTAGTTAGAGCCACCCTGTGGATCCCATTCCATTTCCAAAAAGCTTCCACTATTTTCCATAAGTAACAATCATCTGTTCACTCCATCTAGCTTGGATGTTACCTTTGATACTTGTAATAGATTAGGAAAAAGCAATTTTAGAGACTTGTATGATGGTAACATCTCCTGTAACTTTTAAGCCCTTAGTTTAAAGTTTGGTCCTCTGTACTTTCATATGTTACAGTATTTAATCAAATTCAACTGTGCCTGATTCCTCTTTGCTCCTTTCTGTGGTCAGCCCCCTGAACATGTCTGAGAAAAGTTTGCCCATTTGCCCATTTAAGAAAGGGATCTTGTTAATTACAATAGGATCACATCCCTCCTTGATTCTCTCTTGGAGACAAAGTTGAAGTGGGGATTGGAGCTAAGTGTGAAGTTAGACGAGGACTGGTGGGTTGAAGCATTTAAGAAGCATTTAACTCCTCTTCCTTCTGAGTCTGATTTAATCTAATGCAGTTTAAACTTCATTCATAGAGCCTACATGTGCAGTGCTAAATTAGCAAGCATTTTAACCCAACCTGTCCTCAGTATGAGGACCTGACATTTTTCATATGTTTTGGGTACAATCTTAGAAAAGTTTTGTTCAGGTGTTTTTCCCACCTTATTTGAAGTTTTTTTTAGTGTAACTTTAGCCAAGAGAAGGATTCTGATGGGATAAAAGTCTCCATCCCCCCCTCACATTTTCTATGGCTCAAGGATGTTATGTTGTTTTTAAGACAGGAAAAAAGTTCATTCTAAAAACGATGGCAGATGGTTTTGGACAGTGCTGGCAACTTTTTATTAACCATTACCCACCTGACAGACTTATTATATTTTTATTATTGCATTTGTTTCATTCTTATTATTTGGTTGAGGTGTGACAAGGGGTTTTGATGATTGTAATGGGAAGTGCAATGTTTGGTTGGAAGGTTAGGGGAGTTTTTGATTTAGGATTGGGGTGAGGGGGTGGTGGAAATTCTAGGCATGCTAATTCTGCTTTTTGTGTTTTACTTGATGACATTGTTTGAAATAAAGGGGGAAGGGAAAAAAGTAGCTGCACACTCAGCTGCACTCACAACATTGAGTGCAATGGTGAGTGCCTTAGATAGTGACAGCTCGCTGTTTTTAGCAACAATGCCTTGCGTACTTTTGCGTTATTGGTGTTGTCTGTTACCTGGTTGCATATCATCTCATCCTGCAACGCACCAAACTTGTATGAACTAGCCAGATTCTTTCATCAGGCATGACTAAACATTTGCAGCGTAACTGAACACAGATCCAGTGCTAAGAAGTCAGTGTGCAAACATCGACCTTGAATGCTTGATTAGCCAAGCTGTTTGAAATGGTGAGTGGAGAGACCTAGAACAAGTAAAATTGTTTTTGCCCTCTCTTCTTCTGTTTGAGAAAACTTCTATCAAGTACAGTAAACAAACACACTTTACTTTTAAGACACTGTATCAAAACTTGGTTCCTATTCCAGAAACTCTTGTAATCAATGACAAACACAGGATGACATGACTGCTCTGGAAACCAATTCAACAGAAGTGAACCAGTGCAGGTTTCCATAGTTTCAAGCCAGTATTAAATTCATATATGAAGCCCACACCTTGACTGTGGAGAAATATGTGAAAGACAATAGAGCAATGTTTTATGTGGAAAAAATGTCATCCATGAGTTTGTCAGATTTGCTGCAAATATAATGTGTATACTATCTCGAGCTTCTAAGGTGATGTACATTTTGATCATGTAACACACCCCAGCATCATGTTTGTTACTAATTACCTATATTGCTTTAGTATCTAATAACATGCCTTGAATCACTAGAAGATGAAGATTTAGATTTTTATCTTGAAACATCTCCCAGGACAGAGTAGATTTATAGCTGCAGTTTATGCTTTTAACATTGTCATTAAAGCAGTGGTTTTAAAAACTTGGGAGTAATTAATTAAAAATTAATTAAAGTAATTAAGTATTTTCTGATACAATTTAAAAGAAACCTTTACTGCTTCAGAAGGATTGTTTCACCATTACTAGAAAACATGGATTTTGGCATCCACCTCAACCCCACAGGATTAAAGCAACTGCTAAATGCCGATTCTGAACAGGATTTATAGTCTACAGATTTTTGCTTACCAATTTATTATGAGTTGTGTGTTTGCCAAACACACATGTGCACATAGATCTTGCACTTTTGTTTACTTATTTTTTTTCTTATTTACTTCTGAAAAAATCTGACAAAATTAGAAAATGACTTGTGCCAGTTATCTCTTCATCGAGCTCTGTTGTCTTTTATGGACAGCATTGGGAATTACAAAAGAACCCAAAGTTTTGGGAACTACTAATAAATAAATCAATAACCAAATGAATGAACAAATTAATGTGAAATATATGTTAGCAATTGTTTTCTAATTTGGTATTGAAATTTATGTTGTGTATTGCATCGTGAAATTTGCATGTCATTACACCCCTACTAGAGGCTATTGCAGCACCACTGTAGGATGAGAGTAGGCATGTTTAAAACAGATATGGCAATAGTTACATTATTCATTTTGGCTGACGTGTCCCTTTACATGACAGAAGACATGAACATTTGTTTTGGTAATGTTTACTAAGTGTGTGCTTTCTCTTAGGTGTTTACCAAAACTGCTGAAGCTGTTACTATGTCTGCTCCCATTTCTACTGCTTTTTGGTAAGTTTGGGATAGGAGTAATTATGCCAGAACTTCTTATCTGGATGAAGCTCAATCTGGTTTGAAGGAAATAATAGATAGATTATGAGATTATATAATCTAATGTGATCTTATACACACTGTGTCCACTCACTGTCCACTCTGTTAGACATTTCTACCTTGTCAGTCCACCTGCACAGTTTGTGTTTTTGTCATCCTCTAGTCCTTCATCAGTGGTCACAGGACGCTGCCCATAGGATGCTGTTGGCTGGATATTTTTGGTTGGTGGACTATTCTCAGCCCAACAGTGACACCTGAGGTGTTTAAAAACTCCAGCAGCACTGTGTGTGATCCACTCAGACCAGCACAACACACGCGAACAGGCCACCACTACGTCAGTGTTACTGCAGTGCTGATAGTACCTGCTCTGTGAGGGTCCATGGGGGTCCTGACCACTGAAGAACAGGGTAAAAGGGGGCTAACAAAGTATGCAGAGAACCAGATGGACTACAGTCTGTAATTGTAGAACTACAAAGTGCACCTATATAGTAAGTGGAGCTGATAAAATGGACACTGAGCGTAGAAACAAGGAGGTGGTCATAATGTTATGTCTGATCGGTGTGTGTGTGTGTATATATATATATATATATATATATATATATATATATATATATACACACAGATAGTTAGATATACACTGCTCCTTTGTGCAAGGAGGAACAGGATGAGCACTGCCAGAGCCCTACAAAATGAACTCCAGCAGGCCACTGCTGTGAATGTGTCTGACCAAACAATCAGAAACAGGTTTCATGAGAGTGGCCTTAGGGCCCGACGTCCTGTAGTGGGCCCTGTGCTCACTGCCCAGCACCCTAGAGCTCGATTGGCATTTGCCATAGAACACCGGAATTGGCAGATCCGCCACTGACAGGGTCTGGAGACGCTGTGGAGAATGTTATGCCGCCTGCAACATCATTCAGCATGACTGGTTTGGTGGTGGGTCATTGATGGTCTGGGGAGGCATATCCCTGGAAGGACGCACAGACCTCTACAGGCTAGACAACGGCACCCTGACTGCTATTAGGTATCGGGAAGAAATCCTTGGACCCATTGCCAGACCCTACGCTGGTGCAGTGGGTCCTGAGTTCCTTCTGGTGCACAACAATGCCCGGCCTCATGTGGCGAGAGTATGCAGGCAGTTCTTGGAGGATGAAGGAATTGATACCATTGACTGGCCCCCCCACTCGCCTGACCTAAATCCAGTAGAATACCTCTGGGACATTATGTTTCGGTCCATCCGACGCCACCAGGTTGCACTTCAGACTGTCCAGGAGCTCAGTGATGCCCTGGTCCAGATCTGGGACGAGATCCCCCAGGACACCATCCGTCGTGGAGGCCATACAAACTACTGAGTACTATTTTGAGTTACTGTAATGGAATTTCGGCTAAATGGACTAGCTTGCTGCATCATTTTTTCGCTTTGATTTTCGGGGTGTCTTTGAATTCAATCAATCTGATGTGTTTTCAAAGTGTTCATTTATTTTTTTTTGAGCAGTGTGTGTATATATGTATATATATATATATATATATATATATAGAGAGAGAGAGAGAGAGAGAGAGATAAAGTACAAACACACACACGTGTATGCATGTATGTATGTAAGTGTGTGTGTGTACTTTATTGATCCCAAGGGGAAAATAATGCATTTTAAGCATGTGAATTAAATAAACTTTTCTATAACATATAACATGCAGTGGAAGGAAGATGCATACATTACTCTTAAAATTACATACAAAATTCAAGCAGATATATTTTTTCAGTTACACAGGTAATTCTACAGTATGTATTTTCTGAAATATGTGTGTCTAGGTACAGAATGTAAATAGTATTTTATAGTTTAAAAAGGCAACAGAGCATCAGGATGATGGTGCAAATTGTGAGGACGTTGATTACATCTGTGTTGGTACAGACAAACATGTTTGCTAACTAATACAGCTCATCTAAACCACAGTGTGTCTGTTGGCTCTATATGCAGTCTTATTTTCATCACTTTAACAAAAACAGTGTAGAGGAATTTAGTAGTCTTATCTACCGTCAGTGCTGTCATGTACGGTACACCCTGACAACACACTGATTTTTGGGAGTATAGTCTTCCCTCTGCTTGGTGAAGACAGAGTAACATCATTGGTTCAGTTTTTCCCAGCTTTTTTCTTTGAAACGATTTTGAAAGTAAAGACTTAAAAAGTGACCAAACATGACTGTTCGTCTTTACAGAATCAAACCATTGACTAATATTAAAATGCTGCTCAAAAGCACCCATGTTCTTATGCATTGATAAAGTAGGTTACTTGTAAGCAGTACAACTGGCAGGTATTGCTACTGACCTGGACTCCCCACACACCTGAATAAAATATAGGATGAAAAGCTAGGCCTAATGTTCTTTTCCTCTGACTTTATTTATAAACCAACACACTTTACTTTGAAGCACTGTATTGAGGCTTGGTCCCTCAGTTCCTCAATGATGAACACATGATTATGTGACTACTTTGGAAACCGATTCAACAGAGGTGAACCAGTGTGGGTTTTCATGGTTTCAAGCCAATACCAACACTTATATCTTGAATTGACCTGGACTCCTCATACACCTGAATAAAATGCAGAATGAAAGGCTAGGCCTAATGTTCTTCTTCCTCTGACTTTATTTCCAGGTTTATGGTATTTGGGTCCATCCAGTGTTATCTACTACCTCCCAACCACAAACCTGACCAAGTGGAGAACAAAGATGCTTTCTTTGCCACCAGTACCCTCTCTTTCCTATTTTTCCATGCCATTTTTCAATTCTGAACCTGGCTCTCAAAAAGAGCCCATCACACCTCCTGCCACCTCACAGGTATGTTTTGTAGTCAGCAGTCAATGTGTGACCTTAAAGTTACACATATTTCACAGCTGAAAACCACATACACACACTTACAATCACTGTTGTTCTTTCCAGCCTGTAGCAGTATTTGTAGATGCAGAGAGAGTGGGTCGGTTAGAGCAGCATGTGGCTACACTATGGGAGTCGGTCCAGCAGAGAGAGCAGCGAACAGACCAGCAACACGATGAGGCACTTGGGCTTGTCCATGCCCTGCAAGAGCAGATAAACACTCAGACAGACAAAGGGAGTCCGGGTCTTTGGATCTCACAACTGCTGGGGACTAAATTTAACACACTCAGAGTAGAGGTGGAAAGAGAGGTGTCAAACAGAGTACAGGTGAGAATGATTGAGGCAAAATGAGGTAGGCCAATGTATTGAATGTTGTTTGTATAATTTATATTTCTTTTGTTGTGACACTCAAAACCTACTTTTGTCCACAACTCTTTATGTAATCTGTGTTTTCAGCAGTCTCTTAGCGGCCAGCTGCTCTATATTTGTGTTCACCCATTTTTCCATTTTCCATTTGTCACTCTTTTATGGTGTATTTTTCTGTATGTACTGTATGTCTCACTATCAGATGCAGGATGAAAACATGAAAGAGCAGAAGGCTCACTCAGATCAATTGGCTCAGCTTGAAGTGCTACTGCAGGTTCTGGCTTACAAAACAGAGGTATAGTTTACATCATAATAGCATGAAGTAGAGCAAGTGTTACTCATAACTTTAAAGATGTTTTAAACACTAACCATAATACTAAGACTGTTTTTGGTTTAGGCTGATATTAGTTTAGTTTTGTGTGTGTATATATATATATATATATATATATATATATATATATATATATATATATATATATATATATAGACAAAAGAATTGGGACACCCCTCCTAATTATTAAGTTCAGGTGTTTGTCACATCCATTGCTAACAGGGTGAAATTACATAGCCTTGCAGTCTCAATAGGCAAACACTGGCAGTAGAATGGGCCGTACTGATGAGCTCAGTGACTTTAAACATGGCACTGTCAAAGGATGCCACCTCTGCCACAAGTCAGTTTGTGAAATTTATGTACTGCTGGATCCCCTGGAGTGGTGTAAAGCATGCTGCCACTGGACTCTGAAGCAGTGGAAACACATTCTATGGAGTGCTGAATCACGTTTCTCTATCTGGCAGTCTGGGTTTGCCGAGTGGCAGGAAAATGTTACCTGCCTGACGGCATTGTGCTAAGTTTAAAGTTTGGTAGAGGAGGGATAATGCTATGGGTTTCTTTTTCGAGGGTTGGTCTAGGCCCCTTAGTTCCAGTGAAGGGAAATCTTAATGCGCCAGCATACCAAGACACTTTGGACAATTCTATGCTTCCAACCTTGTGGGAATAGTTTGGGGAAGGCCCTTTTCCGTTCCAGCATGACTGTGCCCCAGTGCACAAAGCGAGGTCCATAAAGGCATGGCTGGGTGAGTTTGGTGTGGAAGAACTTGACTGGTCTGCACAGAGCCCTGACCTCAACCCCATCGAACACCTTTGGGATAAACTAGAACAGAGATTGTGAGTCAGACCCTCTTGTCCAGCATCAGTGTCTGACCTTACAAATGCTCTTCAGGATGAATGGGTGAAGAAGTCCCACAGACAAACTCTAAAATCTTGCAGAAAGTTGCCCAGAAGAGGGGAAGTTGTTATAGCTGCAAAGGGGTTGGATTTAGGATGGGATAAAGTGGGATAGCATGGGATAAAAGCTCCTGTGGGTGTAATGTGTAGGTGTCCCAATGCTTTTGTCCGTATTGTGCGTGTGCATGTGTATATATATATATATGGCACAACTCCTTTTCCAAAAAAGTTGGAACGCTGTGCAAAATGTACATAAAAACTCTTTGTGATTGATGTGCAAGTCATTTAAACCCTATATTTATTTGGAAAAAGACAACATATCAAATACTGAGACTGAGAAAGTTTATTGTTTTTTGAAAAATGTATGCCTATTTGAATTTGATGCCAACAACACATTCCAAAAAGTTGGGACGGGGGCAACAAAAGGCTGGAAAAGTTGTGCAATGCTAAAAAAACACCTGGTGGTTGATTAGCAACAGGTCAATGACATGATTGGGTATAAAAAGAGCATCCCAGAGAGGCTGAGCCTTTTAGAAGTGAAGATGAGGAAGGGTTCACCACTCTGTCAAAGACTGCACGATCAAATAGTGTAACAATTCAAGAATAACTTTTCTCAACATAAAATAGCAAAGAACTTTTGCTTTTCATCATCTGTGATACATAACAACATTAAAAGATTCAGAGAATCTGGAGAAATCTCTGTATGCAAGGGACAAGGCCGAAAAACCAGTATTTGCTGGCCATGATCTTTGGGCCCTCAGGCGGCACTGCTTTAAAAACAGACATGATTCTGTAGTGGATATCACTGCATGGGCTCAGGAACACTTCTGAAAACCGCTGTCTGTGAAAACAGTTCATCGCTGCATCCACAAATGCAAGTTAAAACTCTAAAACGCAAAGAAGAAACCATATATAAACAGGATCCGGAAATGCTGTCTCCTTCTCTGGGCCCAAGCTCATTTAAAATGGACTCAGGTGAGGTGGAAAAGTGTCCTGTGGTCCAACGAATCCAAATTTGAAATTCTTTAGGAAATCATGGACACTGTGTCCTATGGGCTGCAGACTCAGCTTGTTATCAAGTTCATAGTTTAAAAGCCAGTATTCATGATGGCATAGGGGTGTATTAGCACACGTGGCATGGGTGACTTGCACATCTGTGAAGGCACCATTAATGCTGAACGATATATGTTTTGGCAACATGTGCTGCCATCCAGATGACACATAGTGGTAAACATGCCCCCCTCCCAACTTTTTGAAACTTTTTGCTGGCATCAAATTCAAAATGGGCATATATTTTTCAAAAAACAATAAAATTTCTCAGTTTTAACATTTGATATGTTGTTTTTGTACTATTTTCCTTTAAAAATATGGTTTACATGATTTGCATATAATTGCATTCTATTTTTATTTACGTTCTGCACAGCGTCCCGACTTTTTTGAAAATTGGGTTGTATATACATACACATACACACACACATACACATATATCCTGTTTATCATCACATCAAATATGTAAAACTAATGTCTTTTACTAAAGGAAGTTCAACAGGAGCAAAAAGTCACAGCTCCCCCAGCTCCTGTAAAGTAAGAATATTTCCTTGTTTATTTTAGGAGTCGTAATGAACCTATGAAAAGTGAGCTCCTATAACCCCAGTTCCAAAAATGGCTGGGGCAATGAAAGACTGGTAAAGTTGTGTACTGCTAGTAAAAAAAAAAACAACTGAACATCTCACAGTTAATTAGGTTAATTGGCAACAGTTTAGTGACATGATTGTGGTAAACATGCCCCTGTCCCAACTTTTTTGAAACATGTTGCTGGCATCAAATTCAAAATGGGCATATGATTTTTTAGTTTCAAGATTTGATATGTTGCCTTTGTACCATTTTCAATTAAACATAGGGTTTAAATGATTTACACATAATTGCATTCTGTTTTTATGTACATTTTGCACAGTGTCCCAACATTTTTGGTAGTGGGGATATAGATAAATATATTTAACTGTGAGGTCACTGTTCATGGATTTGGATATCTTATTCTTCATAGACTTGGATTTGGGTAGTGTCCTCCTCACTACCTGAAGATTAATCCTGAAGTTTTTTGTTGTTTTTTTTTTTTCTAGTGTGACTCAGGTCGACAATGATATGTTGCTTGCAGAGGTGCAGAGATTGAAAGCAGAACTTAAACGCGTTAAAGAGGACTTGAAAGGGGTGACACAATGCCGCTGGAAGTGTGGCCAATTGGACACACTATATAACACAGTGAGTGACTCTTCTTAGAATAGTGAAAGACTCTTTTGTCTTAATGTTTAATAACAAGGCATGTGGTCCTGCAAGTTAAGATATTTGTTCTGTGGAAAAAAAAATCTGTAGATTTACTAATATAACAATTTTTTTTTATTTTGTTCCTGTTTGCATGTTGTCTATTTCATTCTGACCTGGTCTGTTTTCTGCGTTGTTGTTGATCTTTCAGGTGTCAGCTAAGGTGAGAGAAGAGCTGTATGCTCTATTCTATGGCAACAAGATGGTGCATAACAGAGATATGAAACTTCCTGATTCTCTGATGCTGTGGCTTTCCTCTCAATATACAAACTCCTCTGATCTCCTTGCTACCCTTGCCGTCCTGGAGCGCACTATTCTGGGAAATGTGTCCCTTCAACTTAAACAGAGAAAAAAGCAACTCTGTGATGAAACAGTCACTCAGACTGTTGTCCATACCGCTGGGGCTGCTGGAATGACGGAGGAGGTGAAGTAGTTAGTTATTTAATTGAATGTATACATTGAATATGCATCAGTATTTTAGTATTGTGCATTCCAAGTAAATTTGAATTACAGGACATTTAGATCTGTGGGCAGCATGTCTGCAGTTGATGAGAGCTGATCCTCCTTTCTTAAATTGTTAATTTCCTTCCCTTTTTTCCTCTTCCAGCAAGTTCAGTTGATCGTATTGAATGCTCTAAAACTGTACTCCCAGGATCGCACAGGTCTGGTAGATTATGCTTTGGAATCTGGAGGTAAGGATCATGGGGCATCACTGTGCAAAATCCTCTGAACATAAAAGAGCAATTTGCTGCTTGCAGGATACTTATTCATTTGTTGGTTGGTTTGTGTGTGTGCAGGTGGAAGTATTTTGAGTACACGTTGTTCAGAGACATATGAGACAAAGACAGCACTGATGAGTCTATTTGGAGTTCCCTTGTGGTATTTCTCCCAGTCACCTCGTGTTGTTATTCAGGTAAAACAAGACAAGACCCACCGTTTATAGTCATCTGTACATGGTCAAAAAAAGCTCATTCTGGTGGTAGCCTGGCACACATTAATTCTAGAAATGTTCTAAATGAATGTCACTGCTTCTCTATGTAGCATGTTTGATACAATTATTCATTTTCAGTTGAAAGTTTCACATTCTCTGTTGCATGACATCTGATTAAGCAGGGCAAATAATCTTCTTCTGGACTCCCAACATCCTCGAACTTTGTATCTCTCAAGAATAGGGAGAAGACCTAGGGATGCAACAACCAGTTGAGGAAGAGCAAGCAGCAACTTAGACTGACTCAGACTTAACTGTGGCTTTTGGAATTGACTCTTTGACTCTGTGTAATTTTAACCCAAACAGCACCAGAGCTATAGTAGATATAGCATATAGCATATATACAGACCATAATAATATGATATACAGTACTGTCCTAGGTACCTAAGCCATTTATCTTGGCATTAAGTGTGTTTCTGCTTGTTAAAACATAAATACAGTAAGAAGTAACAAAATATCTTTTTATCTTTCTGAAAAGTAAGTGATATCTTGTGAGCTAGTGTGAAGAAAAAAGTTTGGTTCCACATGTCTTCTCGATGCCCCCAGCCATCTCTTGGACTTAGTTTGTTTTACAGCAGATGGTGAGCAGTGTTAGTATCCTGTTGCATGTGAGGACATGATTGGACTAGGTTTAGTGATCTAACACACATGCTAAGCCCGGTAATTAAACTCATACCACTCAGACTCGTCACTGTGTTCCACAAACCTAATATCCAAATATAGTGTCCAAATATCAACTCTGAGCATTTTTGGCTCGTTGGTCACTCGGACACTTCTGGAATAGACTAATTTGGAGTCAACTCCCCCTCACTACTCGGACATTGCCGGTCAACACACAAGTACTTGCTCTGCCCGCATGGAAGAAATAATTTTCCATACCAGGAAGTGCCAGTAGTCTGTATTCAGAATTAAAAAAAGAAAACTCCAGTATTAATAAGTTGAATTATTTTATGAAGGATTCACTGTAAAACTTGGACTGGCGACCTGTCCAGGGTGTTTCCTGCCATCTGCCCAATGACTGCTGGGATAGGCTCTTGTCACGTTGAAAAACTTATCGTATTTTAGATAGATTGTCTGAATCTTTGTGATATAAAAGTATTATCTCTACAACTGCTTATTATTGCTTGATGCAGATGAGCTGCATACCACTAGGCATGCTTACTACATATTGAACTTGATTTAACTCTATTAAAATCAACAGTAACTAAGGATACTGAGCTTGATAAATGGTCAGTGGATTCAAGGCAGGAACAGTAACAATTCAGTGTGACAGTTCATTGAAGCAGTAACAGTTTTGTGCCTCCAAGGCAGTGATGTATGATGAAATACATGATATTGTATTAGACACAAGGATGTGCTGAGGACTGTTTTTCTGCACCATAGCCGGACGTGTACCCAGGAAACTGCTGGGCGTTTAAGGGTTCTCAAGGTTACCTGGTTATCAGACTATCTCTGAGTGTGATGCCCACAGCTTTCTGCCTGGAGCATATCCCGAAAGCCCTCTCTCCCACCGGCAATATCAGCAGTGCGCCACGCCACTTTAAAGTCTATGTAAGATTTTGTGCACAGTCACATAAGAATTCTAATACATGACATAGACAGTTACAAATAAACATTCTGTTGCAAGTTTTTATTTGCATTATAGATGTTAGAATATTGTTTATAAAGGAACTTTATAAAGTCTGAGGGATGTATTTTACTTTGGATATTTTCTATTTGTTTTGAACTAAGCTGCAGTTGATTTGTAATACCCAATTAGAAGCTGTCATGACTGCAGCATTTTGATTTCTGCAAAAACATAAATATGATCAATGTAGTACTGGTACATTTCATTCTGGCCTTCAGGTACCCCCCACCAAAAATATTTTTATATGTATTTGTTGAGCAAATGCACAGTTTATAGCCATTTTATAAACAGTGTATAGCTTTCTGTCTATGTGTCCTAGGGACTGGTGGATGAATATCAAGAGGAGGGAAAGCTGCTAGGGGATTACATGTACCGGGAGGATGGAGAATCACTGCAAACCTTCCCTGTTGTGGTACATGCATTTATTCTCTTGGATCACTTTTCCTTCAGAAATACACATAAGATTTTCCCTAATATTTGTGTGTAGTTATTTAAGAGTCTTCAACAAGATAACATGATATAATTCAATGTAAAAATAACTGGTTTTATTGTATAAATTGTACTTTGAAAAAAGTACAACAAAATATATTAGTTTTGATAAATAAGAGTGTATAAAATAACTGTCAAATATGAGATACACCAACTGTAAATTTCTGCACCTTTTTCTTTCATTTGTTCCCTCCTCATCCCTCCATTCTTTGATGAACTGCTATTACTGTTCCGTGAACTAATATGACTCCTACCCTGTAAGTGTATTCTAATGAATAATTTAACTACTCATTATATGTTTATTTTCAGCTGAAAATACATATTGAAACCTACATTAAATCGAGTGATAGTTTCAAATTATTTTATTTAATTTACCTAAATACATTTATTTAACGTTATGTGTAGGTAACAAAATACCTGTAGCCTGCTACGGAGCCTGTAGCCTAAACTCAGCAGCTACTGGAACTAGACTAAAGCATGCTGGTTTAGCTAGCAACATTGTGAGTGCTCCAAATAAAGAAATGAATAATGGAGTCTGCATTATACATTATGGAAAAATTTACATTATTGTGTAAATTATGCTCATAAACCTTTACATTTGTACCACAGCGATGTTGTATTTTAGCGTATAGCATGTGTGCTCCATACCTGAACATCTGAAAAAGTCAAACTCACTCTGGTACTTGGAACAGTGTACCGTCTCGTACAGAGACGAACAGAGCGGGCTGAGCCACAGCTGTGCTAAGTCAGCTGAGAATCTCTCGCTGCTCCCTGTGTAGTTTCACTGCTTTTTCCACATTGAATCTCATAAATTTGGTGACCGAGAAGACCCAACAAACTGCAAATAAAAACAAGCTGCAAAACACAGAAAACACTCATCAAAATGACAACATGGGCGTGGCATTTTACAAAAGCGCTGCAAATACGTAGGCACTCTGAAAACTCAGAAATCACTTTCATCAAAATGACGACACTGTTTTTGTTTTTTATTTGAGGTTTGTTGGGTCTTCTTGGCCACCGTACATAAAACCCTTCAGAAACTTCTGAGGACCTCGGTGTCCGCTACACACGAACGCTAGCTAACTTACTGAAGCAATTGCGGAAAATAACAGTTGCTAAGCAGTAATTGGATGGTTTAGAGAATAACAGCAGATTTTGAGTGGCCATAATACAGTGACAGTGGTTAAAGAAAACAAATAAAATTTCATCATTCCAGAAATGCAGCATTATAAATATTCTGTGTCCATTTGATTGGGTAAATGCCACTGAGTAGACTGTATTATCACAATGGCGCTGTTTATATGTTTAATCTCCTAAAGGGAGGAAAGTGAAAAAACCCTTCTAACTGAGGTCCGGACCTCTGTGTCCTCATAGCTAGTTACGGCCATGATTACAACACACACTACACGTTTGAAAGAGAAGCTAGATAACTTTGTTTGGCTGCTAAGCCACGTTAGATTTGTTTGTTTATTTCTGTATCGCCTCTGGTTTAAAAATTTCCAGTTCACCAAATATGTGAGTCACAGATATTTACCATTGCTTCATTTAGGAAGAAAAAGTTCAGCATTTATAATTTAGCCCCTCATTAACGTTAGTTACTTTCCAGTTATAAACATACCATTAGCTAGCTTTGAGGGTAACCTAATTTAGCAATGGACAGCTGTATAAGCTGCTGGAAGCAAGGTTGCCAGAAAATTTTTAGAAGTAATGAGCTGGGGAGAAAAAATAGGACGATTATTTGTTTACTCGCTAGAATCGCCACACAGTTTCATCTACAATGAAGTTTGTGAATGGCTTAGACTACAGAACGGACGACATAATACAAGTAAAATACCTTATTTGTTTCGACTCCTTGTCATTTCGTACCACACAAATTAAAATTAAGCAGGTAGAGTCAAGTCAAGTCAAAGTTTATATAGCGCTTTTTACAACAGATGTTGTCACAAAGCAGCTTTACAGAAAAATCCCGGTCCAAGCCCTCATGAGCAAGCCAGTGGCGACAGTGGCACGGAAAAACTCCCTAAGAGCAAGAGAAAGAAACCTTGAGAGGAACCAAGATTCAAAAGGGTAACCCATCCTCCTCTGGTCAACACCGGATAGCAAACAGCGATAGTAAAATCTAGTAAAATATTAGAATACAAAACGGAGAAAAACAAGTGGAGCAATTGTTAATTAGATTGTTGTACAGCGTGAAGCTCAGTGATGGTCAAAGCGGTCCAGAAGGCTGAAACAGTCCAGAAGGCTGGCAAGCAGTGGGCCCCCGATCAAGGCAGAAGAAGCAACAGCATCAGACTGCACAGGATGGGCAGCTGTTCAACTCAGCAAAGAAAAAGAAAACACCCAGAGAGTTAGTTCTGTGAAGAGTGACTGATCGCAGATTACAGTATTAACAGAATGCAGCACAGACTCCGGCAGGTCTAGTTATTATAGCCCAACTAAAAAGGAAAAACCAGAAATGTAACAGAGACATGAGGGCCTCCTTAGATGTCAGCACCCTTCCGCTCCACCATCAGCAAACTTGAGTGAATGCGTGAGAGCAGCGGGACGACAGCACCAACACTCCCAGTTTACCATAATGCTCTATGTCCATGAACCCCCAGATCTGCACCTTTTATCTAACAGGGAAAACTAATTACCAAAGGCTTGCCTAAACAAGTAAGTTTTTAGCCTAGACTTAAAGACTGAGGCTGTGTCTGAGTCCCAAACACTGACTAGAAGATTATTCCAAAGCTGGGGGGTTTATATGAGAAGGCTCTCCCCCAATGTAACTTTATTAATTCTAGGTACTAATAGTAAGCCAGCACCTTGTGATCTGAGTAGGTGTAATGGTTCATAGTATGAGAGAAGTTCACTCAGGTACTGAGGGGCAAGTCTGTTTAGAGCTTTATATGTCAGTATAGGCATTTTGTAATCTATGTGAAATATAACTGGCAACCAGTGTAGGTTTGATAAAACTGAGCTGATATGGTCAAACTTTCTTGTTTTTGTGAGGACTCTGGCTGCAGCATTCTGGACTAACTGAAGCTTGTTAAGGCCTTTGCTGGAACATCCAGACAGCAGGGTATGACAGTAATCTAGCCTTGAGGTAATAAATGCATGAACTAGTTTTTCTGCATCCTGTGGAGACAATGCATTTCTTAATTTAGCAATATTCCGGAGATGCAGGAAGGCTATTCTACAAGCATTCGTTATATGTGCATCAAAGGACAGGTCGGGATCTATCGTTTTTTACAGATGAAGCTGACGCAACTGAGAAACTATTAAGTGTTAAATTAGATGGTTTGTTTCTAGCATCTTTTGGACCAAGAAGCAGAACCTCTGTTTGAGTTAAGTAGGAGGAAGTTACTCGACATCCAGTCTTTTATGTCTTTTATACAGTCCTCAATCTTGCTAAGTTGAATTTTATCATCTGGTTTGCTTGATATATATGACTGTGTGTCATTGGCATAGCAGTGGAAATTAATGCCATGTTTACTGATAATGGTAAAAAAAAGTGGTAGCATATTTAATGTAAATAATATAGGTCCTAAAACAGAGCCTTGTGGAACACCATACTTTACTTTTGCAAGAACGGATGATTCACCGTTTACATTTACAAACTGATAGCGATCAGTGAGGTAAGATATGAACCAGGAAAGAGCTATTCCTGTTACCTCTACAAGGTTTTCTAGTCTATCTAGTAAGATAGAGTGGTCTATCGTGTCAAATGCCGCACTAAGATCAAGGAGGACTAGCAAAGACACATTTCCTTGGTCAGAGAATAATAAAAGATTGCTTACAGTTTTCACTAGTGCTGTTTCTGTATTCTGATGTGGCCTAAAACCAGACTGAAATTTTTGTATATGATTCCTATGCAAACAGGAGCTTAATTGTTTTGCCACAACTTTTTCCAAGATCTTTGATATAAAGGGGAGATTCAAGATAGGTCTATAATTTGATAGTTTGCAGGGATCAAGGTTAGCTCTCTTAATCAGAGGTCTAATTACTGCTAGTTTAAGAGTGTTTGGGATATAGCCAAGGCTAAGAGAGGGGTTTATTATTGACAGAATAGGCTTGATTATTTCTGTAAACCTGTCGGAATCAGATCTAACATACAAGTAGAAGATTTTGCGGAGGAAATAATTTTAAATAGTTCATTTTGTTGAAGTAAGGTAAACGATTCCAGCTTCTCTGCAGTAGTTACAATATTCTCAAGATATGGATTGGCATTGTAAGGCAGCATGTTTGTAGAGTTTAACTGTGCGTTCTGAATTTTCGGACTAATTTTTACAATTTTATCACTAAAGAAATTCATAAAATCATTGCTGCTATAGGCTAATGGCATCTGGGGTTCAGTAACTGTGTGGTTCTTAGTTAATTTAGAAATTGTGCTAAATAATAATATAGGATTATTATTATTTTCTGTAAGAGAGGAGAAATAGGTTGAACGTGCTGCAGTAAGTGCTCTTTCCAGGCGGACTGGAATACTTCTAGTTTAGTCAGGCGCCATTTTCGCTCTAGTTGTCTGACAGTCTGTTTTAAAGCTTGAGTATGATCATTGTACCACGGGGCAAGCCTTTTCTGCGTTATTATTTTACTTTTTAATGGAGCCACATTATCTAGAGTAGATCGAAAAGTATCTTCTAAGCACTTAGTCGTAGTATCTAATTCGGTAGGATTAAATGGACAGCTGATAGAAGCTGATAATTGTGTGAGGTTTCTGATAAAGCAACCAGCTGTGGAGGAAGTTATAGTCCGCTTAACACGCTAGCACACTACCTGTCAGCAATTCACTATCTGGCCACCAGAGGTCTCCCTCTCCCGAGTACTAGCCCTGTTCCCGAAAATCAAGCCACCTGTACCTCATCATTTCTCTAATCAGTCACACCTTAAATACTCTTCCCATTCAGCCAGTCTGTCCGAAGTATTGCCAGTTCTTTTGAGTCTGACTACTGAGCGTTTGTTTTGTCTGTGCTTCTGGTATTTTGAACCTCTGCTTGATCTCTTGGAATCAGCTTTTGCTTTTTGTCCCTTTTGCTTTTTTTTACTACGAGTTTTGGACTGCCCAATTGTTAATAAATCTGCCCATGGATCCTTCACAAGTTTCTGAGTCTGCTTCATCACAGTACATTACCACTAAAGCGAAATTCATATGAGATTAGGTAATGATCTGAGACTGCTATGCTCTGGGGGAGAATGGCTAAGTGATCTTTGTTTACACCAAAGGTCAGAATTAAGTCTAAAGTGTGGCTGCAGTAATGAGTGGGAACTTCATAAGAAGAGAATTTGTAGCCTACTTTCTGGCTCACGCCTAAAGCGCTTGTATGGATAGTTGCTATACCTCCACCCCGGCCGCTTAAACAAGGGCTATGCGCATAACTGTAGCCTGTGGGGGTGGCTTCATTTAGACCAAAGTATTCATCGGGTCTAATCCACGTTTCTGTGAGGCACAGAGCATCTGGATCATGATCGGTAATAATTTCATTTACAACGACGGCTTTAGATGTAAGAGATCTTATGTTAAGCAGTCCTAGTTTTAGACCAAAGGTGTTGTCACTGCAAACTGTTATAACTGGTCTGATATTCAATGAATCCGAATCCAATGAGAGAAAGGTCAGTGGTTGCAATTAATTGCGAGTAATATGCAACAGTGAATTGAAAATGTAAAAAGCTGCAAAAATAGTAGAGTTCATAGTATTGCATATTTCTAATATTGTGAAACCTCATTCTGTTTATAATGGCCCCAGAAAGTATTTGGACATTTGTACCATACTTAAAATGTATTAAGTTCATTGTGTTAGGAAACAAAATGTATTTTATTTTAAACTGTTATGACGATTCCTAAAACACCCAGCCCAAAACACCCACCACTAGAAACTGAACTTCGTAGAACTCTCACTGACTCTGGTTTGCGGATAAGAGATTTGGAGGCCATTCAGAAAGTGTGTATATCTGAATGGCAGCACATGCTAACAGGTAAGCGTACTTTTATATTTATATTTTATATTTATGACGTTGTGGCTTTGCCTCTTTTACTACTATGCTTGTGGAGAAAGGATGCTGTTCAGCTGGGTCTGCCACTAGGTTTAGTTGTTCTATGAGTTCAGTATAGCTTGCACACCCTGTATTTTTCTGAAATAAAGAGGTGCAAGCTCACTGTGTTAAAGCAAAAAAAGTCTCTTAACTGCTGCGGTTGAACAGCAGTGATTTTAGTTAGCTTCAACAGTACCTGAGTAGTGGTTTTGTAAGTGTCTCATGCTTTGTTTCCCCCATGATTTGTGTCTGGTTAGCTTCTGAATGATGCCGAAGTCTCTTGCACTATAAAGTGGTGAAGTCTTTTTGGTATTTCCTGTCAGTGTTCTGATTTATTTTTTTATTTATTTATTTTATTTTTTTTGTCGACCTTCGTTATTATTTAGGTTTAGTCGTTTTTGTGTATAATAAAAAGACTGTTGGAACCATGTCTCTTGGTTTCTCTAGCACTTCCCCTTGATCATTATGACCATACCCAGTCATTACCACACATGCTATTCAAAGACTCAGATTTTCTGGTGCTGGTGTTTCGGATTAAAACATTTTTTTGCAGGTTTATATTCAAAATGCATCAAAAATATATACTTCTTAATCCACTCAGTGAACACAAGCTTACCAACACCTTTTTTCTTAAACATCCCCAGAATTTCATGTTTCCATCTTTACAGGACCCTTAGTGCAGTCTGTTTGGAAATCTTTCCACACGAAGAGTCTAACTCTAACATCAGTCTGTCTCTATTGTGCTAAAAGTGTTTTTCTGAGAAATAAATACTATTTTTTAAAGCATTCTATGAAGTGACCGAACAAATTCTTTAAAGTTTACCAATGCTTAAATGGTTAGTGACCAAATACTTTTGGGGCCACGGTATATCTGTCTGTTTCTGACTGACTGTTCACTGTTGATTTTTTAATTAATTAATTAATGTATTTATTTATTTTTATTTCTGCCAGGAGAACAATGACAGGACCTTCCAGATCATTGAGATGCGAGTGCTCTCCAACTGGGGCCATCCTGAGTACACCTGCCTCTATCGCTTCAGAGTCCATGGACACCTTGACACTAAATAAAAAGGCACCCACTGTATAGCAACATCTAATAACATACTCAGTGTTTACCAATACTGGAAACTGGACCTTTTTTGGAACAGGAAACTGATCTTTTTTTTAATTATTTATTTATTTTTTTCAACATGGATGGACTTAGTATTAAAACACATTTTTGTAACCCATGTTGTTCAAGTTGATTGTAGAATTTTAATCAAAGTTGCAGAAGGCAAATGCATGAATGAAACATTAAAAAAATAGAGTAACAGTGGAAATGGAAAGAAGGAAGACCTGGATAATAACAGATCTGGACTCCATCTCATTAACTCACTTTTGCACTGCAAATGCCTACATATTCCTAAATAGCACTTAACCTAGTCAGGTATCTGTCCCCTTTGATGGATAGTGCTTTTTTGTCTTTGGTCTCTGTATGGCATTTTTTTTTATTAAAATTGAATTGAAAATTTAATTAAAATTGTTAGGAAAAAATGATATCTCTTTTTGACAGAAAAAGCAAAGTCTTTATTGCAGTAAAACCAGTAACAAAGCATGCCAGTTGTTCACAGTGCTCTTGTTTGGACTGATCTAATCGTAGGAGCAATGCAATAGGTTGGAACCTTTCTATGATAATTAAACCACTACGAATGCAGAGCAGTTAAACTAACTGGATCTGGTTTGATCAGAGCTCACATTTTGTGGTATATTATTACTATAATTTCTTACATAAAGGCAGTTTTATTGTCCAGGTTGTTTAGTCTGAGTGCAACTGGAATGGGGATAAGGATTTTAGTAGTAACTCTGTAGGACAAATGAAATCAGAAATTAAATCTGAGTTTTCCCTCTGTGTTTTTTGTCAAATATTTAAAAGATGTTTGTGAAAAGAAGGTACATAGGCCTATTCTGATGTATCTTTAGCACCCAGGTTTGGGGTGGTGGCTTGTCAGAAAAAGAACATACAATTCTGTGCAAAAATCATGTTTAAACAATTTTGTCTAGGCAGCAAGTGTGTTCTTGTCAGTTACAACACTATATAATATTACAACAAATACAAAGAAATGTAAATATGGTAATAGTAACACCAGTTTCTTGTTATCAGTAGTTATTGATATGTTGTTCCAAACAATACAGTTAGAAAAACACTGCTTTGGTTCTTGACTTCTCTGTGCCCTCCAGCCATTACATAGTTTTGTTAAATTCCTCCACCAGCACACCTGATATAACTGAATTAAAGATTGACTGCCTGAAGCAAGAATTGGAAGGCGATTGTAAATACTAGGCATCCTTGAGGAGAGGTTTTAGAAATGGCTAAAACACTGAAAGGCATGAAATCATAATGTATGGTTCATTTATTTATTTGTATTTATTCTAGCGGTAGTGATGTTTTTGTTGTTTTTCTTTTTTTTTCTTTTCTTCTTACATAAATAGCTTTACATACAATTTTCTCTGCCAGCCTAAGCCTAACTTTTGCACTGTATTTCTGCCTGTTTTTGTTATTCAGCTTGTAAAGCAGACAAATCTCAATAATAAAAATTGAGTTGCTAAAGAGCTACCAGATGCCAGTATTCCAGTTCATTTTAAAGCCAAATGGATGGTTGTTGTTTTGTTTGTTTATAGTAATTAATGCCATGTTTATAAGCCACAGGAGTGATAAGAATGACACACAACACCTGGCCAGGAACATACTGGGTGCGGCTGCTGATAGCTTTTGACGTTCAAATAGACATTTTCTACATTTAAATTAGATTTTTTTTTAATTGAACTTTTTTCAAATATTCCAATTTCACTCTTGATTGTGACAGCCCTATAGCTCTGCACTGCTCTTTGGCTACAGCTAGACCTACAGCTAGAGTCTGCTTCTGCTGTTACTGCTGCTGCTCTAACTTATCTGCCAAGTCATCAACTGGACTAAACAGATTCTATGGATTTCTTTCATTTTGCATCAAAATCTTATGTTTTCTTGCTTGTTTTTGTTTCTGTTTATTTATTTATTTTATGAGCTTCCACCCACCCGAGGGTAGAGGTTATTTTTTAGCCATAAACTTGGAATAAACTTGTCATACCTATAACCTGTGCAGGTTTTACTTCTGTGATTGAACAGAAAGTTTGCCTCTGACACCTTTCACAAGCATTGAATGCATTCTCAAGGCAAGTTGAACAGGGTTACCTAAGATTCTCCATTTTAAACCACACACTCACTTTACAATGGTTGAAGTTTATAGTGGTGGTCAGGGAAGGGATTCTGTTGCTCTGGATCTGACTGCCCATGATTACTGGAATAATATGATCAGTATGAGTAAGGTATATGATGTCCATGTATTATCATGTCATGACAGTCAGTGTTCCAATCTTCATTCACATTAATAGATTGGAATGGCACAAATCTGGTGGAACTCCAAAATAGCAGGGGTTTGAACAAGTCATTAAGTTGCAAGTAGCAAGTAAGTCTCAAGCCTTGACACTCAAGTCCTAAGTCAAGAGAGTAGAGTCTCGATTCAAGTCCTGACTCAGTAGTCCTAATCTTCCAGTCCTAAACAAGTCGGTGTGCATTCTTCATAATGATAACAGTACTAGAGCCTTTTAATGGCGGCATGTTAGTAGTGTATCGCTGTATATAATTTTTTTTTTTTTACCTTTCCAACTAAAATACAAAATCCAAGGCACACAGATAACCACACTCTTAAAAAGAATGGTTCTTCAAGGGCTCTTTAGCAAAGAAAATGGGGTCCCACTTTAGATTAAGTGTCTCTAATAACTGTGTAGTTACACATGAATACCATATGCAACAACACTGTAACTACTGATGATTTAGTCAACATTACAGATGGATTACAGAAGTACAGCCTATGTAATTACGTGTATCAACTTCAGTTTTGCTTAATGTAATTGCACAAGTGTATCTTCTACACAGGAACTCTCCTGTAGTGTAGTGTTACAATTATACTTTAAAATAAGTGGACAGTTCCTGTGTAGTTGTTATGTAGGTACTGTGTAATAATGGAGTGGTAATATAGACATTGCTTTGGGGGTTAATACAACACATTTAATTAATGTTATAAAAGTTACATTTTAAGATAAGTGGACGTTGACTGTACTGTCACATTACAGAATGGTTTAAAGCTGAAACTGGTTACAGTGTCACAACACTAGCAACATAAATGCTAGCTAAAAGTTAGGAAGGCTGGCAGATACAGTGTAAGTAATGTCTTAATGGCAGTTATTAAATACTTCCTTCTACTGTTGAAAAAAAAACTTCTACAAAAATGCTGTTCCAGTCTGATTACAAATGTAACTACCTTGCGTTATTACCCTTGTGTAATTACATGAGAGAGAATAGGCTGTTACAACTATTAAGATACACTTGTGTAATTACATAAGGTAAAACTGAAGTTGATTCATGTGTAATTACATAAGTTGTACTTCTGCAATCCATCTGTAACAGTGACTAAATCATTAGTAGTTACATTGTTGTTGCATATGTTGTTCACATGTAACTACACAGTTATTAAAGACACGTAATATAAAATGGGACCGAAAATGGTTCTATAAAGAACCATGAACTCTCAAAGAGCTCTTTCCATAATTGAAGGTTTCTTTGCATCATTAAATGGTTCTTTAGATTGATGGAGAATGTGCTGTAGATGGTTCTATATAGAACCTTTTTGAAAAGTGTTCTATATAGCACCCAAAAGGGTTCTTCTATTGTTACAAGCTTGACATTGTAACAATAGAAGAACGCTTTTTGGTGCAATATAGAACCTTTTTCAAAATGGATCCATATAGAACCATCTACAGCACATTCATAAGAACCCTTTCATGGCCCAAAGAACCCTTTAATTATGGAAAGTGTTCTTTAAGAGTTCATGGTTCTTTATAGAAGAGTGCATGACAGACATACTGGTATACATAAAGAATAGTGCATTACACTAGGAAAGGATTTTTAAGTCCTATTGAACTTATCTAACTATTTGAAGATGATTTTTGATGATTTTTGGGAACATTGGGCACATACAATTAAAATAAAAACTAGCTCAGCACTAAAACTAGCTCAGCCAACTAAAAACAACGGCTAGTTTGAACTGAATTAAGACAACAACAGGAACCAAAACGGCCAAGCTGAATAAAGTTTACAGAAATAACAGCAAAATTATGGTAAACATACAAAGCTGAAGTTGACTTTTTTCAGCAGCAGCTTCTTATTTGAATTTTCCGTTCCAACTTAAATGGTGCAGCAGTTACGTTTGGCACCTGATGCACCATTTAAGGTGGAACAACAAATTCCAATAAAAAGGCAGCGAATAAAAAGTCAACTTCAGCCTTGTGATGAATGTTGCACTTGTTTTACCTGCAGACGTTTTTAAAATCTGTCAAATAGAGAGAGCTGTTTCCTTTTTTCCTACCATGAGGAAAAAAAGGTCAGTTTGCCTGGTAAGTTTCTCCAGTAAGACTGAATTTAAGTGCTGAGTGATGGCTTACTGATGCTGTTGATGCTTCACTTGTTTTCAGCTTACAGAGGCGAACTTTAACTCTTCACTCATCATCTGAAATAAAATAAACTGAGCCTAAGCTCTGTTGTTGTTGGCAGCATCAAGATCTATTAGGAGAACTATGAGTATCTATAGGAGAGAAACTATTACAGGGCCTTTATCCTACACTTTTCTTGGACTTTTTCTTTGAGGTTTACTTATGCCATTTTGTGGGTTTAAGTACCAAAACAGTCATAATTATTTTATATGACCATTTTCACTCTTTTATCTCTTAAAATGATGTCTTTGTAAATTTATATCTTTGTGAAATGTGACTTATGACAGATAGGTAAATAAGGTCTGTTCTGATTGGCTGCTCTACGTTGTGCCTCATTAAAAAAATAAGTTGGGCCTGAAAAACACTCCTTATAATTTTAATATGATTGGGTGGGGCTAAACTGGTGTAGGCTGAGTATTTGAATTTATGTAAATACATTGGTTTTCCTGACACCACAATCAGGCTGTTTTTGTAACTTTATTTCAATATATAGACCGGGAAATGAATTACATCTTGTGAAACTTTAACGTTGTTTACACACTACATCAAACCCTTATTTAAAAAAAAAAGTCAAATTAGATTTTCCATGAGATGGGCCATGCAACAAACCTTTTTTGTTATATGTAAACAGTCGACTTACTTTCCTTGAAAATTCATCAACTGTTGAATCTAGAGAGAGTACAAAGCATCACTCAGGAGTCTGGTATAGTTACCTATGTTTGAGGTTGATAAAGTGAAAAAGCAAGACGGTAAGCTAGTTAAATAAGCCAAGTTAGCTAGGTTAGCTTCGCTAGTTATTGAGATGTTTGAAATAAGTTATCAAGGCTGTGTTATTGACAAGCCACTTTTAAATAGCAATTTGGTCACCTTAAAAAACACTCACAAATACTACCTAAGGCACACCCACCATTCTGGCAAATAAAGTAAAGCATACTTTATTTGAATAATTCGGGCTGGTGCATCTCGACTTAACCAATCATCACTCACTTTTTTCAGTAAACTGTGTCGCAATTGGTTGGAACATCCACTTGACTGTAGATTTGACACAAACATTTTACATTGAGCAGATGTGAAACCTGAGAGAGTGTTGTGGAGTTGGGAGCAAAAATGTATTGATTTGAAGGTCAAGAGCACTATTAAGCAAGTTTGCAAGTTTTGCATGAAACCAGAGTGTTTTGCACATTCGAATCCTGAAAGAGAAAGGCATTGTTGTGCAGATTTTCAAGTTTTGAATAAAACCAGAGTTTTTGCTGTGCACATCCGAAGGCATTTACATTCAAGTTAATTATCTGGGTGCTCAGACCATCGCTGTCCTCTCAAAGTGTAATATTACTGTCTCAAACATCATAATCTTCTCTCACACATTTTGGCACAAAATTGACTCTATAGGGGATCCCACATTAAGTCTATGCACAGATAACAAGCTTATTGTCTCAGCAAACAGGCACGTTGTGAAAATGTTTTGACATGTTACTGTTTTGGTGCCCACAAATTTTTAATACATTAAAAATTACTGGCTAAATGGCACATACAGCAGTGGTACCCACAGGTAAATAAATAGGAAGCTGAAATTCCAGGGCATTGAAGGCCTTATTCGTGTCAGGCCAGAAAAAATAGATATCAAAGACAGAAATACAGTGTCTGTAATGCTGTAAGGAACACTTGGTTTTAGCCTGGCCTAAGCTGATTTAATACATTAAAATAACTGGCAACATGGCACATTGAGCAGTAATGCACACAATGAAATGAATAGGAAGCTGAAATTCCAGGTGGATACTAAAGGCCTTATTCACGTCAGGCCACAATAATTACAAATCACAGACAGAGACCCAGTCTCCTACTTGAAGGCCTTGAAGGCCTTATTCGTGTCAGGCCAGAAGAAATAGATATCAAAGACAGAAATACAGTGTCTGTAATACTGTAAGGAAAACCTGGTTTTAGCCTGGCCCAATCTGATTTAATACATTACAAATTACTGGCAACATGGCTCATAGAGCAGTGGTACCCACAGGTAAATGAATAGAAAGCTGCAATTCCAGGTGGATATTGAAGGCATTGTTCACATGGGCCAAAATAATTACAAATCACAGAAAGAGATCCAGTCACCCACTGTAAGGAAAACCTGGTTTAGCCTGGGCCAAGCTGATTTAATAGATTAAAAATTACTGGCAACATGGCACATAGAGCAGTGGTACCCACAGGTAAATTAATAGGAAGCTGAAATTTCAGTTGGATTTTGGAGGCCTTATTCACATCAGACCAGAAATATTAGATATCAAAGACAGAGATTCAGTCACCCACTGTAAGAAAAACCTGGTTTTAGCCTGGCCCAACCTGATTTAATACATAAAAAATAATTGGCAACATGGCACATTATGCAGTAATGCGCATAATGAAATTAATAGAAAGCTGAAATTCCAGGTGGATATTGAAGGCATTGTTCACATCAGGCCAGAATAATTACAAATCACAGACAGAGATCCAGTCACCCACTGTAAGGAAAACCTGGTTTAGCCTGGGCCAAGCTGATTTAATAGATTAAAAA